TCAAAAGTCAGAAGTCAGAAGTCAAAAGTCAGAAGTCAAAAGTCAGAAGTCAAAAGTCAGAAGTCAAAAGTCAGAAGTCAAAAGTCAGAAGTCAAAAGTCAGAAGTCAAAAGTTAGAAGTCAAAAGTCAGAAGTCAAAAGTCAGAAGTCAAAAGTCAGAAGTCAAAAGTCAGAAGTCAAAAGTCAGAAGTCAAAAGTCAGAAGTCAAAAGTCAGAAGTCAAAAGTCAGAAGTCAAAAGTCAGAAGTCAAAAGTCAGAAGTCAAAAGTCAGAAGTCAAAAGTCAGAAGTCAAAAGTCAGAAGTCAAAAGTCAGAAGTCAAAAGTCAGAAGTCAAAAGTTAGAAGTCAAAAGTCAGAAGTCAAAAGTCAGAAGTCAAAAGTCAGAAGTCAAAAGTCAGAAGTCAAAAGTCAGAAGTCAAAAGTCAGAAGTCAAAAGTCAGAAGTCAAAAGTCAAAAGTCAGAAGTCAAAAGTCAGAAGTTAAAAGTTAAAAGTCAAAAGTCAAAAATCAAAAGTCAAAAGTCAAAAGTCAAAAGTCAAAAGTCAAAAGTCAAATGTCAGAAGTCAAAAGTCAGTAGTCAAAAGTCAGAAGTCAGAAGTCAGAAGTCAAAAGTCAGAGGTCAAAATTCAGAGGTCAAAAGTCAGAAGTCAAAAATCAGAAGTCAAAAGTCGGAAGTCAAAAGTTGGAAGTCAAAAGTCAGAAGTCAAAAGGCAGAAGTCAAAAGGCAGAAGTCAAAAGTCAGAAGTCAAGTCAGAAGTCAAAAGTCAGAAGTCGGAAGGAGAACGTCGAAAGTCGGGCGTCGGAGGTCGGAAGGCAGAAATCGGGTGTCGGAAGTCAAACATCAAAAATCAGAAGTCATCAGTTAGCAGTCAGAGGTCGAAGGTCAGAGTTCAAAGGTCAAACGTCAATGGTCAAAGGTCAGAGGTTAGAGACAGCGATCAGCGCTTAGTCAGATCAAAGATCAGATAGAGATCAGAGATCAGAAATCAGAGATCAGAGATCAGAGATCAGAGGTCAGAAATCAGATCAGAGATCAGAGGTCAGACGTCAGAGGTCAGAGGTCAGTGGTCAGTGATCAGAATTCAGAAGTCAGAGATCAGAGATCAGAGGTCAGAGCTCAGTTGTCAGTGGTCAGTGATCACAAGTCAGAAGTCAGAGATCATAAATACATAAATTCAGAAATTAAACATTCAGAGATTAGAATCAGAATTGAGAAACGAGACACGAGAAATGAGAATCTGAAATGGGAAATGTGGAAGGGGAAATGGAAAATGGGAAATGGAAAATGGGAAATGGAAAATGGGAAATGGAAAATGGGAAATGGGAAATGGGAAATGGGAAATGGGAAATGGGAAATGGGAAATGGGAAATGGAAAATGGGAAATGGAAATGGAAAATGGGAAATGGAAAATGGGAAATGGAAAATGGGAAATGGAAAATGGGAAATGGAAAATGGGAAATGGAAAATGGGAAATGGAAAATGGGAAATGGAAAATGGGAAATGGAAAATGGGAAATGGGAAATGGAAAATGGGAAATGGAAAATGGGAAATGGAAAATGGGAAATGGAAAATGGGAAATGGAAAATGGGAAATGGGAAATGGAAAATGGGAAATGGAAAATGGGAAATGGAAAATGGGAAATTGAAAATGGGAAATGGAAGATGGAAAATGGGAAATGGAAAATGGGAAATGGAAAATGGGAAATGGAAAATGGGAAATGGAAAATGGGAAATGGAAAATGGGAAATGTAAAATGGAAAATGGGGAATGGAAAATGGGAAATGGAAAATGGGAAATGGAAAATGGGAAATGGAAAATGGGAAATGGAAAATGGGAAATGGAAAATGGGAAATGGAAAATGGGAAATGGAAAATGGGAAATGGAAAATGGGAAATGGAAAATGGGAAATGGGAAATGGGAAATGGGAAATGGAAAATGGGAAATAGGAAATGGAAAATGGAGAATGGAAAATGGAAAATGGGAAATGGAAAATGGGAAATGGAAAATGAGAAATGGGAAAGGGGAATTGGGAAATGTGAAATAGCAAACCGAAAATGGAGAATGAGGAACGGGAAATGGGAAATGGAAAATGAAAAATGAGAAAGGGGAGATGGGAATTGGGAATTGGAAAATGGGATATGGGAAATGGAAAATAAGAAATATGGAATGGAAAATAGGAAATGGGTAATGTGAATAGGAAATTGGCAATGGGAAATGGAAACTTGGACGTAGGAAATTGGTAAAGGGAAACGTGATACTGAAAATAGGAAATAGGAAATACGAAATGGTAATGGGAAATGGTAATGGGAAATGGTAATGGGAAATGGTAATGGGAAATGGTAATGGGGAATGGTAATGGGAAATGGGAAATGAGAAATGGGAAATGAGAAGTGGGAAGTGGGAAATGGGAAATGGGAAATGGAAAATGGGAAATGGAAAATGGGAAATGGGAAATGGAAAATGGGAAATGAGAAATGAGAAATGAGAAATGAGAAATGAGAAATGAGAAATGAGAAATGAGAAATGAGAAATGAGAAATGAGACATGAGAAATGAGAAATGAGAAATGAGAAATGGGAATCGGAAAATGGGTAAAGGGAAATGGGAATTTGGAAGTGAAATTGTTTCTCGGGAACGAAAAGAGACAGAAATGTTAAATCTTCGCTAATCATATCTCCGAGTTCAAAAATCAGTGCTATTGAATATGAGCCGAACTAAACGTCGCGTCTCCAAACGCGAGCTGATTTAATTAGGTACGAGTGGTGCACGAAGAATTCTCTTACTAAAAATCGCATGCGTTTGTATCTTGTTTTATATACAGGTAATTTACGAAGGGGGCAATTATAATGTTTGCTCTAGACGCAATTTGCGCACGCTACGCCACTGCCTTTATGCACTACTTTTAACCTATGTAAAGAGATAATTGCGGTGACAGATGTTTACTAATCATCGCACAAAATCGGTCGATATCTCTCGGTGTATGTGCATACCAAATATGTGAAAGAACGACCAATGGATGTAAAAATGGTAGTAAGGGCCAGACCTGGAAATAAGGAATAGAGGAAAAGAGAAAGGAGGTTGCAAACCATGCATAAGGGCGATTAGGAGACAACGGGAAAGAAGGGAGAAAAATAAAAGCGGTCCGAGTAGAATATCGGTCCAAATATTTAAGTGCTGCGATGGAATATTTTGTATGTTCAAGTGAATTACCTAGAATAAATTAACCTATTTTGAGTAGCGGAATTTTTTATTTTTGTTTGGTACTGATGGCAAGGATCTCAGCAAACAATAAATATTTATAAGGAAGGTTTAGCTAGACAGTGTTAACAAGAGACTAAGCAAATTTCCTGTTACCTTCGGAATACACTTCACGGCAAAGTAGGACATTGCCCTTATTCAAGGACCATGGGTTGCTAAATGAGGAGTTACAGGTCACAAAAGGAACCGTTTTCTTTGAAACGAAGGGAAAACCCTATAACTAGGATTTAAGTTCCTAGCCATCGTAAAGCTCTTCTGCTGCCATTGTCAAAATTATTACTTAAATTTTGATTCCAGGTTTTATATCTTTTATCCTAGGTTAAGTAACAGTCAAATAAATACTATGAAACATTAAAATAATAGCTTACATATTTTCATGAACCTTTATCATTTCAATTTCATTTAAATTTTCAAAATGAATTTACAACAAAAAACTAGAAACTTCTCCGTTACCGGAATTCCGAAGTAAATCCCGTTTTAGCGCATTTCCACAAAAAAAATGCGCTGTTGTGGCCACTTTGTCCGTCCGTCCGTCCGCTCGTTCGCTGAGACGCTACTAGTTCTTTATCTTAAGGGTTATTGTTTTTTACGTGCTCCATAATTTTACACTTTTGCCGTTTATTAACGATCCTAGAGATCGTTTATAATTTTGTATTACTGTCTGTCGTCTGTCTGTTGGTCTGTCCGTCTGTTCCTTTGTCTATCTGTCCGTGTGAACGATAACTTTGTTTAGAAATATCCGATCGTTTTGACATCTCCGTTAGTTATGAACTGAATTGCATGAAATTCAATCTGGGCATAGTGTTTTAGCCATATAATACGCAATGCCAAAAGTTGAGTCGAATGGATTCAAAATTCACAGTGCCCTTTTCGCATCTCGACCATTTATAAACCGAATTGCAAACTTTTTTATTTATAAAAGTATTTCAATGAAATTTGATATTATAGGCACTTGGAATAAAGGAAAATCTAACGCCAGTTTCAAAATTTGGTTTTGCGCATGCGCAGTGTCAACTTTTTTATTTATGGAAGTATTTAAAAAAAATTTGATACATAGGCGCCTGAAACAAAGGAAAATCTAACGTTAGTTTCAAAATTTAGATTTGCGCATGCGCAATTCTAACTTTCTTATTTAGAAAAACATTGAAATGAAATTCTTCTTATCAACTGAAATTGAAGTAGCACGTCAAAAATGGATTGCACATTTGAAACGCTATCTTTCATATTTGTGGCCGGATTTTTACGATTTTAACAGAAGTTGCATCTTACAAATGGGAAATGAATGCAAGTGGAAATGCGCTTTTTGTAAAACGTTCACGATTACTTTTTTGCTTGTTAACTTTTTAGGTACTTTAAGTTTAGAATACTACGCGATTTGCAGAACTAGTAAAAATTGTAATTACGACAAGCTACCAAAGTACAGTTTGTGACGCCTAAGTGACTCAAATCAAATGGAGAATCGTACTTGGACCCATGTTATGTAAGAAGTGCGTCTTTGCTCTGCTAACAAGGGTAATGTCGATAATGATCATCTTTTCGCAGGTCTAATGAGGACAATTTATGTGTAACGCATGTACACTGCCAATTTTAGTACACTATTGTTACATACATAGCTCCCATGGCGAAAATTTCGGTGACCTTTAACTATGTACTTATCATAATATGAAGAGCGGAAGTCTAAGACAAAACGAAGAATGATATTTTTAGTGCGGTTTTTACAGGATAGGGTCAATTTGCAGAAACGAGTCAGTTGGAGAGTGTATTGTCACCATATACGCACAACAATATAATACAAACATTAAATTATCATGTGACTTTAATATAAAAAAAAAACCTTATTCCACGGATTCAAACGTACTTTTTCTAAACCTCCCTAAACGTAAGCGTGTTTGTAACGTGTGCAACAATTGATCAGTTCGTAAGTGCGTTTACATTTGTCAGGCATCTTGTCAGCCTTTTCCATGCAGAACTCCACAATTTCGTTGGTCATCCTATCTATAGTTTGAACGATCAGCTCCTCGTTGCCGGTACCGTCATTGTTTATAACCTTAAATCCGTTAAACACGCACCAAAGGAAACATTTGAAGTTCTCATCGTCGGCCATCTGAACCGACTCCCAATATTGATCAACGTACTCTTGCTTGACCCCCGTCGATTTTAAGCACTCCGGATGTTCTTGCTTCGTGCGCTCCCTCCATTCGTCCAAAATGTCTCTGGTGGTTTTCTGAAATGGTGCATTGCCAAGCCAATGTGGGATTTATTAGGTTTGCACTTACGTTAGTTGAAAAGGCCGACACGAAGATCGCCGCAGAAATGAAGAATAGCACCTTCAGAGTCCAGATCATGGCTAAAAATCCGTGAGAGCCCATTCAATTTGCTATATATATACCGTACGTCTTTTCCCATAAGATCCCGACTAGAATACTAAAGCAATTTTTTGCTCATGATTGTTTACGAATAAAATATAGTTATGTGAACATTCCACAATGAACAATTTGGTTTCAGTAAAATAAATGTACTTATGCCCTGTAAACAAATTTACATTGTATGTTGTTATTTCTGATTTTCAAAATGTTTAGGTAAACTGCTTCACAGAATGAATTGCTTTCTTCTACGACCTTCCTGAAAATGAGGTTATAACGTATAATTTAGAGGCATGATAAATAATAAGGATATAGATCATTGTACGTTTGGAAGTGATAATTATCTATACAAATGTCAATCAACAGACCTGCCTTATTTTCATTTCGAAATTCACAAGATCGTAGAAAAAGTATAGTAAGTAATTCGGTTGTGATAGGTACACGCATATTACAGGTTCGTAGAATTGTGCGATTTTTCTTCTAACCTGTAATACCACCATTACAACCTTATGACGTAATATACCATTTTATGTCATTCAAAGTAAGACTACCAAATTTATGATTCACTTAAATTGGGTCTGTGATATGGTTTTTTATCTATCAACCGTCCAAAGACGGTATAACTATACAAAGGTGGTCAGGAATACATTTCATAGTTATCAAATTGCGAATTTTTTGTTATTTTATTTGTTTAAATAATCCAGTGTGTAGGTAATATGTACGACAGTCACACATGCATACAACCGTAGGTACTTGTCGGGTTTGAACCCGATGTATAGCCGAAAAAGGGATTTACTAACTGCGGTAACGGAGAAGTTTCCTGTTTTTTGTTCTAAATTGATTTTGAAAATTTAAATAAAATAGAAATGATAAGGAGTCATGAAAGTACATGCACAAATGAAACAAGACTTTGGAAAAATTATTTCGGTCGGCGTGTGACGTCACTTGACCCTGAGGCAGTACATACAACTACTGTGTTGTGTACTGAATATGTAAACTTAAGTAATATTTCTCAGTCACTTATCGGCGGATTTTATTTTTGTTTGAGCAATTTTTCAGTTTTGATGTATGTTTGATGTCATTAGGTTAAATATTGTATTATCAATATCATGAAACTTTCCATTGCTCGTCTATTGTACAGGGTGGACAACTAAGAATGTGAGGTACTGTATCTGAGAATCTATTCATCGTAGAGGCTTGCGGATAAAAAAGTTATTACTAAAACGGCCACGAGCTAAACATGGAAAATATTTTTAAGTTTCTGAAATGACCGCTAGGGGGCGTAACTGCAATCTGGAATCTAAAAAAGTGATGTTTCTGTGAATTCCGCTATATGAACCTAACAAAAAAATGTCCGGTCTTTGAAGTCGATGATAATCTGAACCATTTTTTTTGACAATTTTTCTTGTATCTCTAAACATAAAGTGGCGGGGGGGGGGGGGTATTCAAAAGTCTCTGTAAAGAACACCCTGTATCTTCGAAACGGCTGACCTGATTTAAACAAACTCGGATTAGTTCAAAAGAGCTATTCTTCAGCTACAAATATTATAATATTTGAAGTTTTGTTAGTTTCACATATCACCGCTTGAGGGCTTTGTTCGACATTCCGACAGAAATTCTCAAATTTCTCAAAATATTAAATGTATTGGTTCGATTTTTGTTCATGAAAAAGTAGCTAAATGATGCTTAAACAAGCTCGCGAAAACAGCATCTCGATATCTTGAAATTTTGAGAGTATAAAACTTTCTTTGGCCTAAATTTTAGGTTAGGAACAAGATATTGAGATGCGGTTTTCGCGAGCTTTATTAGGCATCATTTAGCTACTTTTTTATGAAAAAAAATCGAACCAATGCATTTAATTTTTTTGAGAAAATTAACCATTTCTGTCGGAATGTCGAGAAAAGCCCTCAAGCGGTGATATGTGAAACTAACAAAACTTAAAATAGTATAATATTTGTAGTTGAAGAATAGCTCTTTTGAACTAACCGACGTTTGTTTAAATCGGCTCAGCCGTTTCGAAGATACAGGGTTTTCTTTACGGAAACCTTTGAATACCCCCACCACTTCACTTTTAGAGATACAGGAATAATTGTCAAACAAAAAAGGTTCAGATTATCGTCGTCTTCAAAGATCGGACATTTTTTTGTTAGGAAAAATTCACAGAAAAATCACCTTTTTACATTTTAGATTGCAGTTATGCCCCCTAGCGGCCATTTCAGAAACTTAAAAATATTTTCCAGGTTTTTCTTGTGGCCATTTTAGTAATAACTTTTTTACCGCAAGCCTTTACGATGGACAGGTTTCCAGATACAGTACCTCGCAGTCTTATTTAGCCATCCTGTACAACAAGCATGTGGAGTGTAGCTATCTGTGCAACTCTTTCTGCATATACTCAATATCTCACGAATTGGACCAAATTTGTGAAAACGGTTTCTTACAGATTTGTCACATTAAAAACTTGAAACACCATTGCCAAAAAATGGCTCGGTAAATTCTTGAACCTTCTCTATATTTTAGCAATTGATAGGTGTGCATCTTTTTTAGTTCTATCTATAATAATCGTCCTATAAAGGTTTTTTTATTAGGTATGCCAGAATCACAATTTTTGTTTTGGACACTCAAACGCGTGCGAAATCGGGCCTTTAAAACACAATTGCCTTGCAGGTGGTTAAGTAACGTTACTTCAAATATGACCTATGAAACTCTCATCTGGGACTGAAATAAAAAATCTTCTTAGATCCGTTTCTGTAAACAGAAAAGATTTATTTGGCTTGTACCTATCCTTTGTTCCTAATTTGTTCCATTTCTTAATCGCAGCATTTTTGAAGTTTTAAATGAATGCGCCAAAGGATAGAAGATTTAAAATACATTTGAATTTCCTTTATATATGCTCTTTCGTAAGATGCTTCCTATGCATGAACGAACCTTTCATATTCTTTACTGGATTTGGATTTTGCACCTACCAACTTTCCTTCTGCTTTTGTAACAAGCCACTGAATGAACGCTTTATTCTCTTTTTCAACTGAACTCATTTTATTTACAAAGACGGTGATTTTTATTAGCAAACGTCAAGTGACATTTCCGTGGCAATAATGGAAATACGAATAACCAGCCCACTCAATTAGATATGTATTCGAGTTTAACTTCAATATGATGTTATGTTATCTTTCCCTTATTTTTAAATTGTATTGCATGTATAAATAAATGGGAAAGAATTTGAAAGCGAGTGGGGTTTCGCACAACCCCTATATCCTCTCAAGCAAATAACGATTTCCTCCTTTTCTGTCTCTTCTCCTAAATTGACACCCTGAATTTAAATGACGGACGTTGTAAAAATTTGCGTCTCATAATGGGGTAGCTGACTTTTTTATGAAAAATGCGCCTCCTCGGACGTCTGACGTCAATTATGTCGTTTGTCCTTGGTGAGTTCGAAGGCGATTCAGTTAGGTAGGTTATAGATAGTTGGTCGATTCAACTTCGTAAATTGGAACGAACTAATGCTCATTTTGTATAAATTTATACATGGGCTACATTAAAGTCACTAGATATAGAAAGTACCGCAATCATCCGCCATTTTTGGGCAAATTTGCTGCCAACTTAAAAAAATTGACAAATAAAATCTGAATGGCTGTAATTTTTTAATAACCTAACTTCATAGTACTGTCATGTTTTATAATAGTACATTATATACCAAGGTAGAGAAGTCCAGTATTATTGCCTGAGCACCAAGATTACATCTCGTGGCGCTTGTCTAGACTTCTCTACCGTGGTATATATACTATTTTTTTCACTACTAGCACTTGAAGTCCTCGAAATTAACATATTATATTGATAAGAAAGTGAACGGTTGGACAGAATTTTTTGTTTACTAATTTAACATGTCAATCAAGTACGTGGAAGTACAAGTCAAACAGGCCGTATTTTGTTCTGTCATTGAAATTCGAAGAGAAATTTCGTTCGATTTTTTTCAAAATGTGATAATTTTAGGTATGTAATTTCTCTGGAAATGGCGGATGGTGGCAATCATTCATTTTAGAGAACTTGTGTAAGCGTTTATTGAGCGAAATTTTGGTTGTGTTTTCTAAAAGTGACAGCGTGACATTTCTCATTATTGACTACTAGTTAATAATGTCCACATTATTAACCACTTTGGACAAATGCCGAGAAAGCCTACTTTCCAAGTAGAAAAAAGGTTAATAATCATGTCATCACACGCTAGTAGTGAAAAAAAATATATACAGATATCTCCAAACAGGTGGAATAATCCCTAACATTAAAGTTACTAGAATCTGGTAACTTCCGCCATTTTTGGGCAAAAATCATGCGTTCTCTCTCTAACACACGGGCCCAATGGATTGCGGTACTTTCTATATTTAGTGACTTTAGGCTACATACATTTCATGAACACCTGACATGAATAGAAAAATGTGACATGAAAACTCTATCTGGGATACACTTTGGGTTCAATTAAATACACAGTTTTTGCCGACAAAAATTTATTCCGCAAAACATTTATTTTATTTTATTTGCCTTTATTTTTGAGTGGGCGGGGTTTCAGCCAAGGCTGTTCTACCAACCCAACCCACTATACATTTACAAATATGCATGCCCGAACCCGGATTCGAACCAGGGACCCTTAGAACTACAGTTCAGCTTTAAATGAATTGTGCCGCACGGTCCGGCGCATGAAAAAACGAAAAACAAAATTAAACAAGACGCTCAGAGAAAGAAAGCCTGTTTTTTTACACATACTCCGCACGCAGACGTTGACATACGAATTAAATAAAGAAATCGTAAATACAGTTATAAATAATCCAATCAATCTGGTCGTAACAAATTTGCGATATTCATGCACCTTGAAATTGACACACACACACTCTGAACTTCTTTTGCACCCTTTATTACAATACTGACGAACTACGTTGTCACATACGCAGTGTGACTGCCCGAAGAAGTTTAGCGTGAAAAAATGTATATGCTCCCAAACCGTCGTAAAAGAACTGTGGGGCTAAGTATTTCGGGAAAAAGATGAAAAGAATGGATGTTGAAACTTGTTTATTAGCAAGCCTTATTGTATGAGAGGTCGGCGCGTAACTGCCGGCCTCGGATTGTTTATTCCCTCAGGTCGGTTTTTCCACATTCCAACCAAAACTATTCTATTGTGTTAGGGGCTGTAACGGACCGGTCGAGCACGCTAAAATCACGTGCTCGGGTCGTGCTTGGCGGGTGACGCTACAACACCCCCTTGCCAGAATTTTGGTTTATACAAAAATTTGAAATAGTAAGTGACACAAACGATACTGTTTAAAATAATACAGGTTTTGAAACTTAGAACTAGAATAATACACATATGTACATATATACAACATAGTCAAAAAAAATCTGCGAATTGTCACTTCGTCACGGCTATTTCACCACACTTCCACCAAACCCGCTTGAAAACGATCGGGAAAACGCACTTTCCTGTTGGATGTCCTTCTTTCTTGGACGGCGCCTTCCGGCGTGTTTTCCGGTGCTCTAGGGGCGGGTGTAGCTGGTATTGGCGAGTTGTCAGGGTTGTCGTTGGTGAGGGTGTAGGCTGGTTTGAGACGATCTATTGACACAGTGACGTTTTTGCCATTTACATTGACAACAAACGTCTTAGCGTCCCGGCTTACCACTTGGAACGGACCGTCGTAAACGTATTGCAGGCAATTCCTAGCTGCGTCGTGACGTATGAAGACGTGCTCTGCGGATAGCATGTCCTTGAAGATAAAGGTTCGTTTCTCACCATGACGACGTCCTGGTGCAGGGCGTAGTTGTTGGAAATGCTGCCGTAGTTCCTGGACAATTTCGGATTCGTGGTGTTGTGGTCCAGTGGCTGTCGATAAAAATTCTCCGGGCAGACGTACATTTTCACCGAGTACCATTTCCGCCGATGTTGCCTGAATATCCTCTCGCCAGGCCGCTCGAATTCCAAGTAGTACCGACGGGAGGATTTTGGTCCACGTTTGTGTTTCGTGACACTTTATGGCGGATTTAAGTTGACGATGTAGCCTCTCTACCATACCGTTGGATTGAGGGTGATATCCGGTTGTCCTTAGGTGAATTGAACCTGTCAAATTGCAAATTTCTTTGAACAGATTCGACTCAAATTGACGTCCCTGATCCGTGGTAATTCTCAGTGGCACTCCGAATCTTGATACCCAGCCGGTGTAAAAAGCTCGAGCAACGGTAGCGGCTTCCTGGTTTTCCATTGGGTATGCTTCCGGCCAGCGTGTGAATCTATCGACGCACGTTAGGCAATATCGGCACCCTTCCGAGACAGGCATCACGATGATATCGATGTGGACGTGTTCAAAGCGCCGTGACGGAAAGTCGAACTTGCCCAGGGGTGCGGATACGTGCCTGGTGGTTTTGGCGCGCTGACACTGGATGCACGCTCGTGCCATTCTTGCGACGTCTGCTTTTATTTTCGGCCATACAAACCGCTGACTAACGAGGCGAACAGTGGCTTTAATTCCCGGATGCGACAGCTGATGTACCGAGTTGAACGCTGCTTGACGAAATGCAGGTGTGACGAACGGTCTAGCTCGGGTCGTCGAAACGTCGCAGTAGACTTCCTTGCTACTTCCGGGAAGCGATATTTTCCTTAGTTGCAGACCGGATTCGGACTCTATGAACTTCTCCAATTCTTCATCCGTCTCTTGGGAGTCTGCGAGTGCCTGGTATTCCATTGTTGAGGCCATTTCGTCGATCCGCGAGAGGGCGTCGGCCACCACGTTTTCTTGCCCGGGTATATGCCGTATGTCCGTGGTAAATTGTCCGATAAAATCCAAATAACGGAATTGTCTCGGCGTGCATTTGTCGAGCTTTTGGTGGAAAGCGAAGGTGATCGGTTTGTGATCTGTAAAGATCGTAAAACTCCTTGCTTCCACCATATGCCTGAAGTGTTTGATTGCCATATATATTGCCAGTAGTTCTCTGTCGTAGTTTGTGTCGGGCTCAACTTTTTGGAATAGAATCCTAACGGCTGCCATTCTCCGTTGACGCGCTGTTGTAGGACAGCTCCCGCTGCGGTGTTGGACGCGTCGGAAGCAATCGCTAAAGGCGCGTTATTCTTAGGATGTGCGAGTAGCGTAGCGCTCGAGAGTTGCTGTTTGCAGGCGTTGAAAGCGTCCTCGGCCTGCGTTGTCCAGGTTACGGGGTTGTTACCTTTAATTTTGCCGTGTAGCAAGTTGTGCAATGGAGCTTGAATTTCGGTAGCCCTTGGAATAAATCTACGATAAAAGTTTATCATACCTAGGAACTGCCTCAATTTCTTCGCCGTCTCGGGTTTTGCGAAAGACATGAGCGCTTCTACTTTCGCCGGATGTGGTGATGTACCGTTGTGTGATACGCGATAGCCCAAGAATTCGACGGTTTCCCGTCCGAATACGCATTTGGATGGATTTATAACTATCCCGTACTCCTGGAGACGTGTAAATAGGAGGTGTAGGTGCTCCTTATGTTCGTGCTCGTTTTCCGACGCGACTAAAATGTCGTCCAAGTACGCGTAGGCGAAATCCAATCCTTGCAGAACACGGTCGATGAAGCGCTGAAAAGTTTGGCCGGCATTGCATAACCCAAACGACATGAACGGGAACTCGTAAAGGCCGAACGGTGTAATTATAGCCGTCTTTTCAACGTCCTCTTCCGCCACCGGAATTTGATTGTAGGCGCGTACCAGGTCGATTTTGGAAAATATCAGTTTTCCGTGGAGCGTCTGAGCGAAATCCTCCAAGTGTGGAACGGGGTATCGATCTGGTATCGTGCGCGCGTTTAAGGCGCGGTAATCGCAGGGACGCCATTCGTCATTTTGTTTGGCCACCAAGTGTAATGGTGATGACCATGGACTGGAAGAAGGCCTCGTTAATCCCATCTTCGACATGGTGTCGAATTCTTTCTTCGCAATTTTTAACTTCTCCGGTGCGAGGCGGCGTGGTTTACTGCTGACAGGTGGACCGAGAGTCGTCTTAATTTGATGTTGGACGTTGTGCTTACGTTCACGGAACGTGCCGACGGGTCGAGTGATGTCTGGGAAACTTTGAAGGATTTGGTGATAGGCGGATGTGCCGCAGACCGTCTTGATGGAGGGAACGTCACACGTTGTCACCTGACCTTTAGAGATCACGTTCGTGCTCTGGTCGAGCAAACGGCCGTTTTTTACGTCCACTAATAGGCCGAAGTAGGCAAGAAAATCAGCGCCGATAATGGGTCGCGAAACGTCGGCGATTACGAATTGCCAGGTGAAATCGCGTCTTAACCCGAGGTTTAAATTTAGTAATAACGTTCCATAAGTATTAATGATCGTACCGTTTGCCGCGGAAAGTTCGTAGTCCGATTTTTCGCAAGATTTACCAACGAGTTGTTTTGGGAACACGCATAGATCGGCACCGGTGTCCACAAGGAATTGTGTTTTGGATTCGCGATCGGTTATAAACAGGCGGCTCGTCGCGGGGCCACTGTCGCTGGTTGCCATTAGCGATCGCCCCCCTCGTTTCCCGCTTGGAACGAGCAGGGAGGGTCGCATTTTTTGGCGTCGGTGTCGAAACGCCAATGATACCAACAAATTTTCTTCCCTGGTCCACGACTGACGGAGCGGGCTCGTGAGCGCGACCTGGGTCGTCGATTTTCATATCCGGTGTCTCGTGAAAATGGGGCTCGTCCAGATAGGGCCGCGATTTCGTTGCGCATAATTTCCATCAGTTCTTGTTTCAACGATTTGGCAATTTGGTTTAGCTTCTGGTCAAGGGAATCCACGGCGCCGTCCTGTCTCGCGTGGACTGGTACGATCTGGCCGTTGGGCGCCGCATGCTCAATGACACTGTCCGCTAACTCTGCCACCTCGTCGAGCTGAGTGTTCTTCTGGGTGGCCAGGATCATTTGTATATTTCTGGGCATGCGGCTTACCCATAGTGTCCTTAAAAGTTGGTCGTCCGTAGTCGGTCCCGCAAGTTGGCGTAAATGGCGGAGGAATTGGGAAGGTCTACGGTCCCCTAACTCTTCTCTTTCTAGGAGGCGACGGATTTTATCCTCTTGCGACGAGGAAAGTCTTCGTGTGAGTTCGCTCTTTAGTTTGTCGTACGGAGCTGTAGTCGGTGGATTTCTTTCCAATAAACAAAACCACATTTCCGGATCGGACGCACAAAATTCCGGTAAGCGCATCGCGACGCGATCTACCGATACCATGAGGGCTGGCGTTGAACTTTCACCGTCGTTGGCCATGTTTCCTTGCGCACTGGCGTTGAATGTCCTTTCCGCGAAATATCCTGCCGCACTTTACGCGATAATCACGTCGGGGTCACCAATTTGTGGGGCTAAGTATTTCGGGAAAAAGATGAAAAGAATGGATGTTGAAACTTGTTTATTAGCAAGCCTTATTGTATGAGAGGTCGGCGCGTAACTGCCGGCCTCGGATTGTTTATTCCCTCAGGTCGGTTTTTCCACATTCCAACCAAAACTATTCTATTGTGTTAGGGGCTGTAACGGACCGGTCGAGCACGCTAAAATCACGTGCTCGGGTCGTGCTTGGCGGGTGACGCTACAGAACAAAAGAAACCGCGTCTTTTAATTGTTTTCAGTATACATATAAAGAAACACAACTACCGCCATAAAACAAACTCCTTTCTCAGTTCTCAATTCATAAAACACGCAAATTTGACCAGTTGTGCCTTACACCTTATCTAAATTGAACAATTAGAAAGGGAACAAATTTAATCGCATTCAATAAACATTTCTAAAAGGAAAGACAAATACTGAGACACAAATTCAAGTAAAGTAAACCAGCTTTGTGCTTGTTCATAAATAGTCTTTAGAGTTCTAGAGATTATCTTCCCTTTTGAATAGTCGAGGCTTTAAAGACTTTAAGGTCTTTAGGGATCTTAACAACCTTTTTTGCGTGTATGACTGAAGCATTGATAATTTTTGTGTGTGGACTGTATGAATGTAATTATTGCTTGCTAGGCTCTTGTACATATAACAGGGACGTTGAAAGAATATCGATATTAATGATTGACTAAAAGTACAAATAAAGAAACTACAAGAGGGCGGGAGCTACCGCAGTTGTTTAAAAATTCAACCGAAAGATTGTTGGAGGCAAAATAAATAAAGCAAGGAAAAATAAACATAAACCTAAGATGTGCGAATACGCAAAACGGTTAAAACCGAAGACTTTTTCACAGTCACTGTATACAGGGCATTGTTGTGCTGTAAGATGTGTTGCCTACCCATAGGAGTATGCCATTACTGAGCCCTGCTAAGTGATTGAGTACCTGATAGACTGTCATTCAGGTTTTAACATTCAGGTTGCATGCCTTCTTTTTAACTTTTAAGGTTTCATGTTAAGATATTTATGCTCATACGTTTTGGAGTGACTTTGGTCAATCAGTGAAATGTTGCAACATTGGTCTATTGATTTGCTAACAAGGATTTAGCATGGTTGCAGTGTTGATAATGATAATCTTTTCGCAGCTTTAATGAGGATAATATTTGTAATGAATGAGCACTCCAAATTTTAGTGTAGGTACTTTTGTTGCATACATAACTCCCATGGTGTGAATTTTGATGACCTTGTCATAATTGCAAATTTGAAGAACGGAAATCTAAGACAAAACAAATAGTTAAGATACAGGCTCCCAAAGAGGGCAGGTATCGTGATTATAAATACAACAGCATGTCAACCGACGTCATTGAGACCAAGTATAAAACAAACGTCAAATAATTCATTGGACTTTATTATAAACAAATAGTCGCCATTCAACTGATCTAAACATACTTTGCAGAAAACTGCTTAAACGTAAATGTGATGGTAGCGTGTGCCACAATAGACCAGTTCATAGACACGTTCGCACTTGTCGGTCTTAGTGTCAATCTTTGCAGTGCAGAATTCCACTATTTCGGAGGTCATTCTGTCTACATATTGCACGACAAGCTCCTTGTTGGCGTTACCGTCATTATTCATAAGCTTAAATCCGTTAAACACGCACCAAAGGTAGCATTTGAAATTCTCATCGTCGACCATCTCGACCGACTCCCAATATTGATTCACGTACTCCTCCTTGACCCCCGTCGATTTTAGGCATTCTGGATGTTCCTCCTTCGTGCGCTCCTTCCATTCGTCCATAATTGCTCTGGTGGTTTTCTGAAATGGTGCGTTGCTAACCAAATGTGAATTTTATGTTTTGCACTTACGTTACTTGAAAAGGCCAACACCGCAGAGATCACCGCAGAAATGATGATTAGCACATTCAGAGTCGACATGATGGCGAAAAGTGAACGAGAGCCCGTTCAATTTGCTATAAATACAGTGCGGTTTTTCCCACACGGCCTCCACACGTAGCTATACTAAAGCAATTGTGTGCAACTGGTTTCCCAGGAAAAGTTAAGGTAATATCATCGTTAAACGTGTGAATAATTGGATACCCGTCTCCCTTGAGATGACGTTGTTGTTGCTAGGCCTCCTTCCGTCTTGTTCCGATTGTTGGTTTTTCTTAAGTGAATAGAATGGGATGTACATTTGGTACAATTTACGGTATATCTAACAGGAAACACGCAGGGTTTTTGAGCTATTTAAGGTTTTCAAAACCTTTGGAAAGTTGTAATGGTATTACAAACCTCAATCAAATGGGTATAGAACGGACTTTGAGTTCTACAGGTATAAACTTGATTTTTATATGAGTATTTTTTGACCCACAAAATCTGGTTACAATTCCCATATCATAATTGGTGTTAAAATATTTAAACAAAATAAAGTTCTCAAAGAACCAAGCAAAGAACACTATTGATCCAATAACGTTAATTACAATATCATAATATCCCTGGGTGATCACTTTTTTTTTACTCCTAACCTAATATCACATCAACTTTGACTTAATTAATTTTGTACCTACATGCACTACTACACTATTAAACATAACTGAGAATGTGTTCATAAACTGAAATTTTTATATAACGACGAAATATAGTGCATTCAAACAAAAAATGAATGAACCTTTCTCTATTAAGATTTGTTCAATTGCAAATAAAAATAGGAAACTAGTTTTCTATTTTAAACTCTCAACAAATAACAGTAGTGACTTACGGTCCCGCTAACTGAATTTTTTAATTAATTAATTTCCTTATCGCGTATCACTTGGAATAGAAGAAGGAAAACGTTTCAAGATTAAGTCGCTTGCCGACTTTTAAACGTAAGCTGTACACACTTGACCGCTATTTATTCATTTCAAACTAATTCTGTTTTTGTAAGTATTAAAAAACAAGCTGACGAAGTGTACGCTATCGATACCACTCGAGGCATTTAAATTGGCGAAGACACTTTCAGATACCCCACTTGGGCTCGCTGTGCGCTTTTCTGTTTATATTTATCATCAGGGGAACCAACGCAATTTTGGAGACTGGCGTCTGTTTGTGTGCAATAGGCGATCACCATCTTTTGTTTATAATAAAATTTACGTCTCGGTTACACGGAACCGCGACGTTAGTGAGGTCCGCTGCTATGGTAACAATTCACGCGTTCTAAGTGTGTATGTTTACTGTTAATAACTTATCCCGCGCCTACTATCCGCACAGAATGGGATGTATGCAATTTTACTCACGTGTAAAGTTTAAAAAACAAATTTAAACTACGAAGTAAGTATACTATACAGGGTATCCTAGAGAATATTGAATATTTCTGGAATATTTATTTATTTATTTTATCTATGAACATAACAGGTTGTATTAATTTAAAAAAAACTATTCGAAATTATAAGGAATATAAAAAAAATATGTTAAGAGTTTTTAAATAAAAAAGACAAAGGAAAACAAAAGAAAGAATAAAAAAGAAAAATGCTGTGAAAAATTTTTTTACAGTTCTTGAATATTGTCACACGATCTTGCAAACTGCCTTAGGGACATATAAAAAATATACCAGAAACATTCAGAAAGGTATATTTCAGCTTATATTAAATATACGTAGAATATACATGTGCTTTGTATATGCGAATGAGGATTTGGTGAACAGACTTGAAAGAATATTCTACATTTATTTTGAATATTCTTAGAACATGATGCATATACATATACCGACCACTTGGGATATTCTCAGAATACACTTAAGAATATTCTCAATTTATTCTGAATATTCTTTGTATATAAATTCGAACATAAACTTGAAAAAACGGTTCTTCTCAATATTCTTACAACATGCTCTGCACTTGACCCATTACTACTCTACCAGCTACCTACTTATGCAATTTAGAAGTACGAATATTCACATGACATTCATCAGGTTACCTTACAATAGGTATGTAGTATTCAATACAATTCACAGATCATCAATGGAATATAATCCGAACAGATAACATTTAACTTATCGGTATGCCATAATTATAAGGCGTATTAGAGGCTACGAACTTATAAGAATGAAACATCACATAATTCCAATTATTTACCCTAGAGGTGGTGTATACTGGACAATATCGTACTAAATGGAAATTTTTGCAGTGGCGACATCTAAATTAAGTTTCCCGAAGTTTAGCGTAGCAAGTGCATAATTGACCACCTATAATAAATATAGGATACTCTTTGATATAATGCTTAATTCAAAATAAGTGTCTAACATAAAAGACATTTTGTGTATTATAATTAAGGTATGAAGTTGAAACGTGATTGTGACAAAACTCATACATCCAAGGGAATGTTTTAATAGAATATTCAACACCGAAATGCTGAATATCCTTGGAATATGCCAGACGGACATAGAACATTCTATGGATATTTAGAATACTCGCATTCCTCCTAGCATGTTAAAAGAATATTCTAAGAAAGTTACCTGGGGTGCTCAAGAGTACACTCATAGTTGGCGAATATGTCCACACACTCAACTAATCTCTATATCTAATCTTTTAACTCAGCTAGAAAGCTCTCATTAAAATTACATTCAAACGAAACGTAAGTTGCTCTTTCTAGCTGGGTAAATACAGAAAATCACATATAATATAGTTCCCCTGTAAGTAATTTCCGAATCCTAAGGGTTTCTTTTTGCTGAGATCCGATTAGCAAAGAAATTGTCAAAAAACTCAAACTCCCTTAAGAAGCCGGTTGAAATAGCCAAACATTTACCTTAAGTGCACACAAGTAAAGATAACGATTTCCCCCTTTTATGCCGCGCAGCTGTTATACCAAATTTTCCCCTAAAGTGGGTACCCTGAGTTGAATTGACGTTCTTTTTAGAAATTTCTGTATCGTGACAGAAAAGTTGATTCTTTGATAAAGGTACGATGATAGCCGTCTTGTCGTAGCCTGTGCCCTTGGTGAGTTCGAAGAGGACGGCAGTTTATTTGCGCAGTTATAACTAGTTGCTCTAGATTTAATTAACGTATCAACTCAAAAGAAAATCACCCGGTATACACTTCGAATTAATTACTTAAAATATTATTTAACTGTTTGACGCGCGATCAATCGTGGCTTTGTGCCTATAATTCCAATACGGCTCCCCGCGTAATGCCCAAGAGGCTATTTTTGAATTATTGCTGTCTTTCTTTGCAGGTGCCCTTCTTAATCTGTTTTTCTGACCGCGCAACACAATGCTCTCGAGATCTATCGCGTAAGGCCCCCCGGCCTTTTTCCACGGACGCTCCCTTTCCTTTAAAAAAATACGCCTAGTTTTGGTTTCGTGTTAATTGTTCCACCAGCAGAATTCATTTCTCTCATCTCCAGAAGAGCAATTTGTGAGCAACCCCAATCGCCAATCGGAGTATTCGGAGGTGCAGGAGCGCTCAGCACCAGCTCGAGGCGGGAGGCTCCCAGGTGAGTTACCTAATTAATTGGCGATGGTCGCGGATAAGCATTATGCGGGTCACTTTGTAATTCGGCGCAAGCCTGCTGAGGGGCCAGAACAAGTGAGGGATGAAAATATCAACCCTTACGAACCCCCGTCATTACACACCGCACTATATTCTGTGTGTTTCGAAGGAAAATCAATCATTCAAGAACCATTCGATTTAGGTACGAAATTACCTCTAGAGGGTGTTACGTCTGCGTATGTAAATGGGCGGTACAAGAGCACTTTTTCGAAACAATCCGAGGGTTCAACCTGTTTCGTTTGCGAGTCACCCTCAAAAACTCGGTAAAATTTGCATTTCTTCTTTAACTTTTTTCTCGGCAATCACAGGGTTACAAAAACTGGGGGCACAGCTTTGAATAGGTTTTGGGGTATGATCTTTTCGATTTTGCAAAAGTTTTGTTAAAATTCCTACCACGAAAGGAGGTGCCCTTAATGGCGATGCGAGAATAATCTCTAGTATTTGGGGGTTTTTGAACCTGAAAATGACGATTTGAAAGTAATTTTCGAAAATTCGAAAAAAAATGCCACCGCATTTCTTGGCTTGGCAAAGAAAATGAAAAGAATTACACGACATTTGCTATACTCTTTTGAAGATTGGTCCTTCGAGTTACAAAGTGTCCCCCGTCTACTAGTGAGTCGTGTAATTTCGTATGTGGTTAGTTGAAAATGTCGTCGATATTATGATGCTTGTTAATACAATCAAATTAATTCCTCTTTATTCTTTATTAATTAATTAATTAATTAATTAATAATTAATTAATTAATTTACTTATTATTTATTTATTGCGTGTAAGAGGTGTAATGAGGCTTAGGAACTTTAAACAATCAGATCAAAGATCAGTAATAAAAGGCCTCTAATGAATTTTCAAGCTTTCAAATCGTTTGAACCTTCAAAATCTTCAATCCTGCACTAAACCATATAATTTTGTTGTTGTTACCCGAACTAGATTTGTATAAAAGATAATTTGCCTGGCTAAACTGTTCATCCGTTTGTGATAAAGCTTTGGGGAATGGTTGGAGGTATGCCCGCGAAGGTTTCTGACATAACACTTCTCGAAATTCCAACGGGAACGAGACCGGAAAGAAACGGTATTTTATCGGGAACGGGAGAAACGTGATTTACCGTGAACGTGGTACGGTAACGGGAAAAAACGGGATTTTATCGGAAGCGGGTTTTCCCAAAGGCGATACGAAGTTGGCCCGTACGTATAGTAAAATTTGTCGGCATAGTCACATGACAAAATGAGTCAAAAAACTGTGACGAATATCAAAATCTACTGGAGAATTTGAATAATAACCTATCAAACAATTTCTTACGGTCACTGTATAGAGAGCAGTGTCGTGCTCACAGGCGTACTGTAAGCTGTGTTGCCTAACCGTAGGGATATATCATCATAGAGCTTTGCTGAGTGACTGGGTGATTGAGGTAATCCACCCCCACATGTTGTAATTACAATATTGTTATCATAAGTTTCATTAAATTACTCAGTAATCTAATTTGCCTGTGAGGTAGAAACACATCTATGGCGTTCTTCAATTGATAAGATGGCCGGTGGACCCCCCCCCCAATGAATTTTCCTTGCACAATATTGAGACCTAAGGTCGATGATTTCTTCTCAGGTATATCGACATAGAAAGCACAATCCGGTAGGTAATAATGAAGATGAAAGTAAGCCAGAAGTAAAAACCCTAAAAATGATTATTCAAAGTCAAAAAGTAGATGCATAATTTTTGTTAACATACCGAAAAACGGCCTTAGAATTTGTAAAATACATCTGCAAATGCGTCATCGAAATGTTGAAAGCAAAATAACAAGATACAATACAGCATAACCAAAAATCCCAAAAAAGCTGACAAAAATTATCGAGTAGGTAACTGTAGTGGTGTTTTCGTCTGCACGTAATGATCGAATCTCGTCTTTGTAAAAAGACGTGCGTGCGCCGAAAGAAATTAAAGAAAACTCTGCACGACCTCCGTCGGCAAAACCAAGAACTATGTGAAAGAAACATATACTAAGAAGAATAACAAATTAACTACAGGAGCACTTTACACTTAAACTAGTGGATTACAAATGATGGCGTAAGGATATAAAAATTATACTAATAATGGGTACATGTAGGAATGATGGGAACTTTAATTCCACAAGTGACAGACGCAAAGAACCTTGAAGATTTTCCTAAGCCATGTAATTGCCAGACGTGCTTCAGAGAATTGGTATGTCCCTGTAAAAGGTTGGAAATAATGCGTAAGTAATTTAAAGAAGTAGTAATACATTTTCATGTTGTTTGCCTTCAATGAATCAATAAAATTTTCTTTAAATAATAAAATCGAGGCATTGTGTGAGAAGTTATACTCAAACAAAGAATCTAGCAACGTGTCAGCCATTTTTAAATATGGCGACCAACGACCATGATCAATGTTCTGTAAGTTCCTATAGGTGTTTAGTAAGGTTCCCTTCAAGTTTCTCTCACACTTCTCTGGAGTTTCTTCCAAATTTCTTCTCAATTTTATCTCTTTTCGAGTAGGTAGGTACCTAAAATTCGTTTCACTTTCACCAAAATTCCAAACAGTTAGTTATCGAATTTGTAATTAACACCTGATGCAATTCTAGGTACGAACAAAATATGTAAACATGAAAACTACTATCAGGGTCGTAATTCGGGTTCGATTAATCACAAAACCAACCATTTACAGATAAAACAAGTTTGTTTGACAAAACACATTCAGGTTAAAAGAAAATAGGCACTCAGGACCAACGACCATGTACCACACACATACAAACGACCGATAAACCATTAATTATTAAAGCAAATCAATTCGTGTCAATAATCAAAGATATCTGGTCACTTTGAAACTGACGCACAAAAACAATCGACACCAACACTGCTTCACGAACTCTACTTCACTTTCACTTAAATCTTATTTTAACGAACCGCCTTTCTTATAGTTCTAATTGTTGGAACAACTCACCGCATGACAAACCAACGCCATACACCTTTATAACGTCGACTTCAAACTTTCTTCAAACTCTCTCAAACGGCGACAACACGTCCTTATCTTGAAATTTAATTAGTGTACGCAGCGATAGGAAAGCTTCTTCAATACCACCGGAGAAAGGCATGTGATAAACTTTTACAAATACTACGCAAATAATTGCCAGATGATTAAACAAGGCGATTATTTTTACAAAATCTCTAAAGAACATTCACATTTAAAGTTAAAATTGAAATTAACATACAGGATGTCTAATGGTTATTGTAGTAGGTGTAGATGCCAAACTAGACGCCCGCATGGGGTTATTATAGAACAATATAAAAAGGACACATTCGTGTGCGCGAAATTTTAAATTGATTTTAGTAGTTAAAATGGTTTCCATGTTTCTTCCAGGTTAGATCTGGAGTTGAGTTTTTGCGGGTCGTGAGAAAATGTGACGAAGGACCAGTTGAGTGCGTGTGAAAGTTGGAAGCGCCAGACTGTCGTGACATAAAACGAAATTAATTAGAAACACGTGACAGTCCTGCTGAGTTAGACCAGCTCGGTGCTGCGTAGTGTTGTTTTTTTTTTTAATTTGTGTGAACTTTCCGTTAATGTAGGTTCGATTTGTCTGACTTTCAGGGGTGGATGGGGCCGGCGGGATACCGGGAACTTTCCCGGTGGGCAGAGGCAGAGATAGAGCCAGGCTACGCCGCCACTTGCAAAGAATTAATTTAATTAATATTCTAAGGTGACGAGTGCAAATAAAAAATTATCAAAGCGCGGGCCTTACAAAACAATCGAACCAAAACTGTAGAAGAAGAAAAATCACCACGTTAGTACAACGCGCTTCAGGTTGGCGCCCAGATGTCGCTGACCGCAACATGTAGCTCCGTCCTTAAAGTTGTTAATTACACGATGCCGGTATAGGTACACACCTTGTCTTCCTCCAAGCGTTTTTCTACAGACCCGCATTTGCTGCCAGCCAGCTAGCCAGCCGGCTCAAGTGAGATTAAAGGCTATCCGTCCAGACCCACTTCTTCCGTTTTGAACTACATCTAGGGGAATGGTCCTGGAATTTTTTGCACTAGCTAGCCTATATCTTGAGGCCTGCTTGAAGGTGTGCCCCACGAATTTCCTGAGATGCTGTTTTTGAAAGTAAAACGTGCATAACTTTTACATACGACAACCAATTGGTCTCAGATTTTCCATACGCATGCCTTTCGTGATGCCAAGTTAAACTTTAGAAAATGGGGGGCGATGGGGGGGGGGGGGGGGTAAACACATGTTCTACCCTTTCATGGTATTCTAATGAAAAGTCTCATCTAAATAAATTGGTTTGTACAAACTATATCTTTCCCGTGCGACTCTTTTTCGAGATCAGTGAGCTACGGGGCCTGAGAAGGAGGGGGAGGGGGTTAAAAATTAATGTTATCTCTCATTGTATTCTAATTAAAGATCTCAACGAAAGGAACCGTTTTCTACCAACTACTTGTCCTCTTATCAAAGTACGGGGCGGGGGGGGGGGCTCTAATGAAAGGTCTCAACGAAAGGAATTAATTTCTACCAACCATAGCCCTCCTCCTCGACCTCTTATCGTGATCGGGTGTATTTCCTTATACCTCAACAACGGATTGTCGGAAGAGGGTATTCACAAAGGGCGATTGAGACGTCTGCAAGAAATATATCCTTAGGTGATGTCAAAACAAAAGCTATTTCGGTTAAAGCGCTTTATCTGCACAGGAGTTGTGCACAATTTATACCTCTTTTTACTTTGGGGTAATACGTTTTCGAATGTATGCGATTTGCACAACCAGCGTAAATTGTAATTATCAGTAGTGACCAACAATCGCGGTTTGTGGACATGGGAAAACGTGTACTGAAGTGATTCAAACCAAATGAACAATGTCGGTAATGATAATCTTTTCTCACCTCTAATGAGGATAATTGTATAATGAGTGAGCGTTCCAAGTACACTATTGTTACATGCATAGCACCATTTTATACTATGACAGCACCTATGGACAAAACGAATAGTTATGAGAAGCGTTGTGTAGCCTCCCATCTCAACGTCAGTGTCGTCCAACGTAATTGGGACCACGTATGAAACAAACATTAAATAAATTCATTGGACTTTATTATAAACATTCCACTGATCGAAACATACTATGTAGAAAACTGCTTAAACGTAAGTGTGTTTGTAACGTGTGCAACAATAGATCATTTCGTAGGCACGTTCGCACTTGTCGGTCTTAGTGTCAACCTTTGCAGTGCAGAAGTCCACAATTTCGGTGGTTAATCTATCTATATACTGCACGACAAGCTCTTCGTTGGCGCTACCGTCATTGTTTATAAGCTTAAATCCGTTAAACACGCACCAAAGGTAGCATTTTAAATTCTCATCGTCGACCATCTCAACCGACTCCCAATATTTATTCGCGTACTCCTCCTTGACCCCCGTCGATTTTAGGCACTCCGGATGTTCTTTCTTCGTGCGCTCCTTCCATTCGTCCATAATTGCTCTGGTGGTTTTCTGAAATGGTGCGTTGCAAACCAAATGTGAATTATATGTTTTGCACTTACGTTACTTGAAAAGGCCAACACCGCAGAGATCAGCGCAGAAATGATGATTAGCACATTGAGTGTAGACATGTTGGCGAAAATTCCATGAGAGCGCGTTCAATTCGCTATATATACAGTGAAGTTTTTCCCACGAGGCAATTTAGTACCTACTCATGATTTTTGACAATAATAAAAATATTGCGATCATTCAACAATGAGCAATTTTATTCCAGTAAATATATTTACAGAACTCCCCAGTAAATAACTTTATTTTTTTTACGTCACACTTTGGCACTTACTTCTTCATTAATATTGATATCGCCCACGATTGCGTTAAAGCGATGTGCTGGTGACGCAGAGTAGGTAAATTATGCAGTCAAACGTGTGAACAACTGAATACTGATCTTCCCTGAGATGTGATCCTTGTTAGGTTTCTTCCGTTTTGTGCCGGTCTGTATGACAATTTCTGAAGCTCCGTCCGTCAGAACGCTTTACCAGAAATACATCGAGTTCCTTCCACACGGAATAAACGGTTAATTAAACTATAATAATAATAATAATAATAATATTTATTTTACATGCTACTACGCAAAAGCGCTTACATTCGTCTAAAAATATATAGTAGAGATTACAAACAACGTATATCAACTAACAACAAGCAAATAAATAAATAAACAAATCACTAACAATTAGAGATTACTAAACCCATCGTGAATACATTCAGTGGTGGAATAATATGCTTTATTAATAAGGTGTCTTTTAAGAATTTTTTTGATTTGCACTTTGTCAAGATTTTGAATATGTCTTGGGAGCATATTAAAAAATTTTTGTGCCTGATACGAATGGTGGTTTTGCGATTTGGTTAGTCTGCAGTATTGCGTTCGAATGTTGTCTTTATGCCTCGTATTATGATTATGATAGCTCGAGTGCGTTTGGAAATCCGCTTGGTTGGATTTAGCGTATAGAACACATTCATATACAGACACATCCACACTCGATAATCTCATTTTTCGTGAACACGTATTGTTACGTAACGAGATAATAATGTAAGGGTCCTGGAAGTGAGTAGGAGATGAAAAGCACAAACGACGGATTTAGGTTTAATCGTTTGTGCTCTGTGCTGGTTTGTGCCGTATAGAACTAACCATACAAAAATCAAGGCCAATTCAAAGTGCTCTTAATGAAGGAAAACATGCATATTTACATATCATATGATGCTAACATTTTACAAAACAGAACAATGTCTTGTTTATCCCATTTGAAAGTTATCCAATTCCGACTTAAAACCAAAACACAGTTTTCCCCAATAACTCATTTGCTTACATAACCATCAGCGCTATAACAACAATGGAAATCAATGTACCGGGTGACTAAGACAGTTCCTCGTCCATATCTCGGGAACCGTTTGTCGTCTGACTTAGGACTAAAAAAAAGTATTGGGTAAATCGGTTATGAAGAATCGTTGGAAAATATTTTCAAGTTCTAAAAATGACCACAAGAGGGCGTAACTGCCAACAACTTAAATTTTAAAATTGTATTTTCTATAATTTCGCATAATAAACTAAACATTCTTTTTTCACATTTTTAAAGAGAACCAGGTTATCTATCATTTTCGTAAAAACAAAAACTCAGTTATTTCAAAAGCAAAGATGGCGTGTGTGATGCTTTAACTTCTTAACCATTTAACCAATTGTAACAAATTCGGTATCGTTGAAAAGAGCATTCCTTGGGAAACCAGGACAACCAGAGAAATATAGTTAACTTAGTTGAATCTTTCTCCGCCAGGGGGCTAGTTTTGACACTATGATCCAAAATCCTAAAAAAATCAAATGGAATGATATGACCTTTTCTTCATGAAAAAGTAGCCAAATAACACCCAAAGAGGCCAGTGTTAACCGTTTTTCAAAATCTCGTCCCTAACCTCATATATTGGGAAAATAATGAGATTAATTAATTAATTAATAAAAATGCTTAAATTGTATCTTATTTGACGTATTTCCGGTATTTGTCGATGGCGCGAAAGATTGTTTGGAAAAGGACCCTACACTTTTAGGTAGGCCTTGGAAAATTAAACAAATGAAACACGATGCATTATAAAATAATAACAGACGTAATTTGTAAATTATTCTGCTGTGTTTACATTCAGAAAGTGCAGTTTTTTGAATTTGTAATATTTTCTAAAATGCCGTTTTCTAACCAAGAAGCATTCAATGTGCTGGCGGCGATGGTTAGTGGTCGATCCGGAAAACGCAAATAGAAGATGTGGCCAGCGGTAGTCGCATTTTGAAAATACTCAAAATATATCGCCGGCATATTAAATGCTTCTTGGTTAGAAATCGGCATTTTAGAAAAGATTACAAATTCAAAAAACTGCACTTTCTGAATGTAAACACGGCCGAATAATTTACAAATTACGGCTGTTATTATTTTTGTTTACTTTTCCAAGGCCTACCGAAAAGTGTAGAGTGCTTTCCTTTCGCGCCATCGACAAAATACCGGAAATACATAAAAAGTAAATTTAAGATACAATTTATGTATTTTTATTAATTAATTATTTAATTAACCTCATTTTCCCAATATTTGAGGTTAGGAACGAGATTTTGAAAAACGGTTTTCACTAGCCTCTTTGGATGTTATTTGGCTACTTTTTCATAAAGAAAAAGTCATATTATTCCATTTGATTTTTTAAACTTGATTTTGAACTAACATTAAAACTCAAAATTGAAACTCCAAAAGAAATCGAAAGTAACCCTCTTCGCTTTAATGTAATAGTTGTCTAAATACAGTACAAGTAAATTTCATTAATTGTTTCCGAGCATTAAATCGTCTGTAAGACGTTATCGTCAGCGGAAAGTGTCTACCGATAATAGAAACTACTTTAGAGTGATATTTTACAAAACATATATAATAAGTATAAATTGTGCACAACTCTTGTGCAGATAAAGCGCATTTTTTTAAACCGAAATAGCTTTTGTTTTGACATCACCAATGGATATATTTCTTGCAGACGTCTCAATCGCCCTTTGTGAGTACCCTCTTCCGACAATCCGTTCTTGAGGTGTAAGGGAATATACCCGATCACGATAAGAGGCCGAGGAGGAGGGCTATGGTTGATAGAAACTAATTCCTTTCGTTGAGACCTTTCATTAGAGTACAATGAAGGATCCAACTAGTTCCACCCCCTCCCCTTCAGGCCCCGTCACTCACTGATCTCGGAAAAGAGTCGCACGGGAAAGTTATAGTTTGTACAAACCAATTTATTTCGATGAGACCTTTCATTAGAATACCATGAAGTGTAGAAGGTAGAACATGTGTTAACCCCCCCCCCCCCCCCGTGGGAGCGCCCACCTTTTAGACAGCGAAATTTGATGGTCGTCGAAGTAGTTCGAAACGGCAGAAGTGGGTCCGGACGGACGGACGGACAAAACGCAAACAATTTGTTTGGCCGACCGTTGCTAAACGTTGTTTGCCAGCGTGGACGTAGAGAGGCGAGTCTAAGGGAGGGCTCGAGCTATGCCGAACTCGCCTTCGGCTCGCTCGCCATTGGTGTGCAAAAAAGTGTAGTGTTTGTTTGACCGTTGCTAAACGTCGTTTGCTACCGTGGACGTAGAGAGGCAAATCTAAGGGAGGGCCCGAGCTATGCCGAACTCGCCTTCGGTTCGCTCGCCGTTGGTGTGCAAAAAGTGTAGTGTTTGTTTGACCGTAGCTAAACGTCGGCGTCGTTTGCCACCGTGGACGTAGAGAGGCGAGTCTAAGGGAGGGTCCGAGCTATGCCGAACTCGCCTTCGGCTCCCTCGCCGTTGGTGTGCAAAAAAATGTAGTGTTTGTTTGACCGTTTCTAAACGTCGTTTGCCACCGTGGACGTAGAGAGGCGAGTCTAAAGGAGTGCCCGAGCTATGCCGAACTTGCCTTCGGCTCGCTCGCCATTGGTGTGCAAAAAAATGTAGTGTTTGTTTGACCGTTGCTAAACGTCGTTTGCCACCGTACCGTCCCACTACTATCCGTCGCCCTGCACCATAACTTTGCAAATGCATTTAATAAATTGGGGCTGAATTTAAGGGCCACTCACCAAAATAACACCACCAAATTAGTACATTAAAAAACAAGTTAGTGTGTAATCGAATCTTTAAAGCACGCCCAATGTGTTAAAGGTCAAACTGTCCCCAGCAGAAAAACCGAAACGGTCCAACGCAACTCGACTCGCAGCAGCTAACTATCTCACCCACGTTATCATAACCCGTCTGTGGATCTCCATTAAACCTACCAAAGATCTTCAATGGCATGAAGCCATCTCAATTAATCCCCAAGAGTTTTTAAAGGAAACGCACCATAAATGACACTTTCTTTCCACTCCTACCTGGACTAATTTAATCAAATTTAAATTAAATAAACCGCGCTGTCGGACTCCTTTCACTAAAATGTCGCATTAAAATATTATTCCGCACTATTGACCACAAAATTGTCATATGAGCTTCCAGTCTAGTCTTGTAGAGTTACTAGGGTCACAGAATTTAATTTCGCGGAATTTAAATCTTTGGCTATGGTTCGTATTTACCGTGATAGTTTCAAATTCGTAAGACGAACGAAGTTGAAGGTCGTCAATGTTTTAATGCGCGCGTTTAAACTTTACGCACTTATTTTACTTTCTCCGAAAATAAGACCCGCTCTCTATTATTAGTCTCACACCAAAATATAAGCCCACCATTCGCTACATTACGGGTAGTCCTGTCCCACTGTTAGACTTGAATTCTTTATTTACAAATAAAACTTACCCCACGGTAATTTACATATGGTTGACCTAACTTCGCGTACGGCTCAACGCGAAATCCCTTACGATCGCCTACGTAACACAACAACAACGAAATGTTAAGGCTACTATCGTCCAAAATTGCTTTCCTAACGATCAAATTGGCGAAAAGGAATCAATCCGACTGGCGGAATCGATTAGTATCCATTTTGGGGCGTATTTTTTTAAATTGAAGTTAGTGGGGAAGGCTTCCGTGAAAGGTAGCCAGATAAAAAACGCTGTATGTCGCGATGCAGTCCAAGAGTCGAGTGAATCATCTGTAATTTTGAGGTATATAATCTCGGTACTTAAACAATCGAAAAAATTGTGTTGAGCAGTGCGGTAGCTTTTTTAGAATAGAATTTTCGTGGAGATTTTTGCGATGCGATAGAACTAATTTAACACATATACTGTGTCAATTTGATCT